CACAACACATTTTTATCCAATAATTCTATTGTTAAGAATTTATCTTAAATCTTATAGGATATGTACAAATACATTTCTTATAGTATTATTTATAATAGCAAAAATTGGAAACAACCTAAATGTCCATCAGTAGGTACTGACTAAATTAATTATACATATCCACTCAACTGAATATCTATGACTATATGAAAAGATTTCTATGACATAGTGTTACTTCCAAAAAGTAAGTTACAAAATACATGGTTTAGAAAGATGACATTTATGAATAAAGCATGTATGTACGTATACACTCACACACATTCTCTCTCTTATTTATATCTTTATTCCTAAAACACATATGAAAGGGCACACAGAAAACTGTTACCACTAGATTGTGGGTTGGAGGTGGCAAAGGTCAGGGGAGAGAATTTTACTTTACTTACCTTATATAGTTTTGTGCAATTTTGAGGTTTTACAACAAGCATATAAAACTTGATTACTTTTTGAAATAATTTTAATAAATTAAAAATTTCAATAATTGTAATAAGTTTACTTAATTTTAATAAATTAACATTTAGAATACTTAACAAATTATTTATTTAAAAGAACTGTTTATGAAGTAACTAAATTATTTTTTTAATATTGCAAAATAGCTTCATTATTATGAATTGTGAGAAAGAACTTTCCTGGTTTGACAACAGTCTAAAAAAGCACTGAAGACATTTTATATAGCAGGCTGATAATAACCTACTCTAGGATCCTGACCTTATTGTGTGCCACATTCAAACCATTCTCCAGATTAACTTTTAAATAGTTGTGAGTAATTGTACTGCCCCACTGGCTACAATCCTATATAATAAAAGTGTAGTATGCAAATTGTCCCCTCCACCAGGAATTAGTCTGGGAGCTTAACCAGAGGGTGGGGCCAGCTGGGGGAAGGGAGGGAGGCCCAGGACAGCAGCCAGCAGCTGCTAGGGACCCTACTAGTGCACGAATTTTGTACACTGGGCCTCCAGTGTAACCTATGTGAAACACAAAACAAGCACATTTGAAAAAATTGTTTCACTGATCCTTGCCTAAGATACTTCTATCAACAATACCATTCCCCACCAAATTCAACTTTCCTGGGCTGGATTTTATTTATTTATTTATTTTTTCAGAGAGAGAGGAAGGGAAAGAGAGAGAGGAATAGAAACATCAATTGGCTGCCTCCTGCAGGCTCCCTACTGAACCTGAAACCACCCCATGTGCCCTGACCTGGAATGGATCCCATGATCTCTTGGTGCATGGGTTGATACTCAACCACTGAGCCACACCAGCTGGGGCCCTGGGCTGGATTTTGCATGAGCCAGAAGCTGGAATGAGAGTGAGAAGCTGAAAGGCAACACACTGAGATAAGACCTTTCTACATTTGTACTAACAGTTTATCAAGTTAGGGAAGGACCAGAACCAAGTCTCCTGTCTCCCAGAGTACTTTTTTTCATGAGTAGAGGGGACGTAGGGGACCTCAGATTAATAAAACTATTTGTTACTTTTTATTAAGCACTTACTATGAACCAGGCACTGTGCTAAGTGTCTTAGATGGTTATTTTTCTTAATCTTCACAACAACCCATGAGGTATTATTACTTCCATTTTACATAAGAATAAACAGATTAAAAAATAATAACCAGCCGAAACCGGTTTGGCTCAGTGGATAGAGTGTCGGCCTTCGGACTGAAAGGTCCCGGGTTCGATTCCGGTCAAGGGCATGTACCTGGGTTGCGGGCACATCCCCAGTAGGAGATGTGCAGGAGGCAGCTGGTCGATGTTTCTCTCTCATCGATGTTTCTAACTCTCTATCTCTCTCTCCCTTCCTCTCTGTGAAAAATCAATAAAATATATTTAAAAAAATAATAATAACCAGAAAACAATCGTAAGATACCCAAATCACAAATTTTTCCCTATTCTCTTTCTTCTTGAATCACTTTTGATTTCTGCTCTTTTTTGTTAGAAATAAAAAATATTTGCCCTAGCTGGTTTGGCTCAGTGGATAGAGTGTCAGCCTGCGGACTGAAGGGTCCCAGGTCGATTCCGGTCAGGGGCATGTACCTTGGTTGCAGACATATCCCCAGTAGAGGGTGTGCAGGAGGCAGCTGATCGATGTTTCTCTTTCATCGATGTTTCCAACTCTCTATCCCTCTCCCTTCCTCTCTGTAAAAAAATCAATAAAATATATTTTTTAAAAAAAGAAATAAAAATATTTCTAACATATCATGTACATTTTACTAACTTGTCAATAAAATATTATTTCCATAGTTCTCTGTATTTTTTTTAAAGTTCTATAACTCTTCCCCCCACCCCCATTTGTTCCTCAATCAACCTTAAGACAATTCACAAAGCAGACTTAGTCCCCTCATTTTAGAGATGAGGATCCCAAGGTCCAGCAAGTTTAGGGGAGTTCTTTTCCTATTCCCTTCAAAGGCAATTCCAAACTCAAGTAGACCCAACTGCTTCACACCAGCTTCACAGAGACAACAGAAGCCATCAAGCATGAATTTCCTCTTTCTGTCTCCCCTCCCCACACCTAAAACTTATCTTCATCTACACCATTTCTTCCCTCAGAAGCCAGAGGAAAAAAGATCCATTCTTTTTTTAAAATATATATATATATTTTATTGATTTTTTTACAGAGAGGAAGGGAGAGGGATAGAGAGTTAGAAACATCAATGAGAGAGAAACATCGATCAGCTGCCTCCTGCACACTCCCTACTGGGGATGTGCCCACAACCAAGGTACATGCCCTTGACCAGAATGGAACCTGGGACCCTTCAGTCTGCAGGTCGAGGCTCTATCCACTGAGCCAAACCGGTCAGGGCAATATCATTCTCTTGATTCGCAGACTAATTTGTGCCCAGAATTCCATTCCTTCCCATCTATTCTAATTCATTACACCACTAGTTATTCTCACTTTTCTGTTCCTCCAACCTCTCTCCCCGACCCCCCACTGGCTATCTGCACTCAGGGAACCAACATGCAAATATAGTATTTGCTTCCACCTAAAAACAACAACACCCAAACTGTCTTTTATTCTACATTCCTCTTTACCGCCCTGTCTCTCCTTCTGAGCTAATTTCCTTGAAAGTGTAATTTAGACTGGCTGCCTCCATTTACTTATTTCCCATTCACTATCACATGGATCCTGCTCTGATTGCTGCACAGAAATTGCTCTCCCTAAAGTTATTGATAGCTCTTAAACACTAAAGCTAAAGGAAACTTTTCAATTAACAAAACTTTATCCTGACTCAAACTTTTGAGTCCCAGTATTCAAACTCGAATTGGTAGAACTTCAAAACTCATTTTATATAATATATTTCAGAGAGGAAGTGAGAGGGAGAGATAGAAACACCAATGGTGACAGAGAATCACTGATTGTATGTCTTCTGCACGCCCCCTACTGGGGATGGAGCTCGCACCCCAGGCACGTGCCCTGAACCTGAGAACTTGCAGTTCGCAATGCCCAATCTCTATCCACCGAGTCACACCGGCCAGGGCCAAAACTCATACTTTTAATCATTATGCTATATTGCTTCCAGGTAACCACACCTTTAGTCATCTTGATTTTCTTCTCCATCTCAGCCCGAGTCAGTCACCAAATCCCAATGAATAAATTACAAGTCTCCTTAAATATCTCTGGAGGCAGTTTTCTACTGGTGATGATGCCTGAACACCCAACTCAGAAACTTGGTTACTATTTTAAACCCCCAACAAGATTCAGACCATGCCCTAGCCGGTTTGGCTCAGTGTATAGAGCAGTGATGGCGAACCTATGACACGCGTGTCAGAGGTGACACGCGAACTCATTTTTTGGTTGATTTTTCTTTGTTAAATGGCATTTAAATATATAAAATAAATATCAAAAATATACATCTTTGTTTTACTATGGTTGCAAATATCAAAAAATTTCTATATGTGACACGGCACCAGAGTTAAGTTAGGGTTTTTCAAAATGCTGACACGCTGAGCTCAAAAGGTTCGCCATCACTGCTCTAGAGCGTTGGTCTGCAGACTCAAAGGTCCTGGGTTCAATTCCAGTCAAGGGCACATGCCCAGGTTGCGGGCTCGATCTCCAGTGGGGGGCGCGCAGGAGGCAGCCAATCGGTGATTCTCTCTCATCATTGATGTTTCTCTCTCTTCCTCTCCCTTCCTCTCTGAAATCAATAAAAATATATTTAAATTTTAAAAAAAAAAGATTCAGACTGTATCATGAGGGAATAATCACCTCGCCTCTGTGATTCCCTTACGACCCTAGAATCACAGAATTTTGAAAGTAGAGGGGAATGTCATTTTATAGCTGAGAATCTGGGGCTGAGTAATTTACTTACTGGCAGCTTAGCACAGAGCCAGGAATACAAGACCATCAATAGTATGTGTATCTGCGGGGAAAAATTTATTGGGTGAAACACAACCTCTGTAAAGGCCTGTTCATTTTGCACCAGACCTCACTGACTTCTTCTCAGACTTAAGTGGGATCTCTCTTTGTCACCTTTAAAGCATTAAATAAATTAGCACTAGCAGTTAGCATCCAAGGACCGACCCCTTCCTCTACTTGCCCACCAGCGTCCGGTGCAGATCTTCCCGTCCAAGTTCTGGCTGTCAGTCCCCACAGACTCACCTCTTACAGATTTCTGTCAACAGGTGAGTCAACTATGAGAATTTAGATTAAAAATTTTCCCTTCACACGGAAAAGCTTGCAGAAGTGACAATCTGAGCTTCCCTGACAGTTTACGTGTCCACAATAAGCCGTAGCGGACAGTCTTCCCGCGAAACAGCAGCCCCAGGGAATCAAAGAAGGCAACCCGTGGAATTTTAGCGCAAGCTACGCCCGCCTCAATTCTCCTCAGCGAGGCGCGCTCTTCCCGGAAGTGACGCAACTGGTCTGCGGAAGAGGAGTCCCGGAGGAGGGGTGGTGTTTCCGTACGGAAGTCCGCCGGGTGGGTAAGTAGAACGGAAGAGCAGCTCAGCACCGTGACAGGCCGGGGCTCTTGAGCGCCTTCTGGCCATGGGCCCGCGGAGCCGCGAGCGCCGGGCGGGAGCCGTGCAGAGTACCAACGACAGCAGCGCCCTCAGCAAGAGCTCCCT